GGGGGGAGGAGCAGGGAAGAGGGAGAGAATACCTATACAACTTCTATACACATTTCACAATTGTTCACAGAACATAACAAATGTGTTTAATATTATTATAATTTATTTATTATAATAACCTGTGAATAGGCAATATTTGTATTGTACCATATATATTTTAGACATTTTCTGGAATTAAATATTATCTTACGCCTGCAACTGCATGTGCCAGTAATGTTTTCCCACATCCAGGTGGTCCATGAAGTAAAAATCCTCTTGGTGGAGATATACCGAGCCGTCTGAAGATTTCAGGATGTTTCATATGGGCTAGTAACTTGCAAACAGTTTTCAAAACTTTGTCACTACCTCCTACATCAGAGAAAATAATTTTTGAATTCGTGATAGGTACAGTTTTTGCTTTCTTAGAAACTGAAAATTGTCCATTGTCATTTTCTTTGTCTCTTTGACGTTTTCTCATAGATTCCACTAATGACTGTTTCGCGACTTGATTTGCAGGCTGAAACAGAAAACGAGTATAAGCAAACGTTCATTCTCCAATCTAATTCTCGCTATAATTTAGCGAGATAAAATCTTAATCAATTGCATGCAACAACATACCATTTTTGATAGCACAGGTATTTCTGATTTTGAGATAGATGTTTCTGGCTTTGCTGCAGCTGTTTCCTGTTTTGTAGTTGCTGGTTCTGGTTCAGTGGTTGATAATTCTGATTTTGGAGCAACCATCAAAGCCATGTGGGAAGATTCTTCAGCTACTGTACACTCAGATTCAGGCGTCTTTACGTCCTTTTCAGTCTTGGAATCAACTTTTGATACATCATCATCACTACTAATGTCTATCAATTCTTTATCGCTCGAGTTTCCATTCTGTTTATATTGTGTTTTCTTATACATATGTAACAACATATCGCCTATCGAAGCACGTTGTGAATCTGACTGAAAAATTATGTGACTTGGTTAAAAAACTATTATATACATATATATATATATACATAAATTAATATTCAAGATAACGATAGATCCAGGTACCTCGACATCAACATCCTCAAAATCGTCATCATCGTACGCCAAATTTTCCCGCGTCGGAGGTTTTCTCGACAGAATCTCAGTAAGCTCGTCGTAAGCCTTCCGTACAATTGCACGAAACGGACCGCGTTTCTTACCACGATAATCTCTGTATCGCCTTTGCAACGCGTCTGCCATTTCATTTACATCGATATAAACTCTATTCTCATTTTCGTGCATGTACTGTGAATCATACAAACGTAACATGAAGAAAGATAAATGAACTTTGCTAAACAATCATGTCGCTATATAATTTTTACGAACTTTGCGCGCAAGTACCCGCGGCCCGCATTCGCAGTGGGATTCCGCAATTAGATTTTATTACGATTCCGTGAAAGAAACATTCGAAAGGAATAACCTCAAAACGTGAACCGGTAGAGGG